CTCATCAGAGGCTCTTCCAGGGACCAGGTGCTACAACACACACAACTGGTCAGACACCTAGTCACACAGTTGGACTCCTCATAAACGAGGAAAAGTCCACTCTGACCCCCGCTCAAGTGATCGAGTTCGTGGGAGCCCACCAAGATTCCACAATGGCCTTGGCCTCCCTGCCCAAGCTCGGGTTTGTGGCCATGAAGGGCATCATCGGGAAGCTCCAGGTCTCCCCCCAATCACAATGGCCAGGGGTTGCACGAGGCTGCTGGGCCATATGGCAGGGTGTACCTACGTGGTGCCACACGCCAGATTACGCCTCCGCCCTCTGCAAGTGTGGCTGGTGTTTGTTTACAATCCTACCCACGCTCCGTTGGGCAGGGTGTTCTCCATCCCTCGAGACACTTCTCTCTTGAGTGTTGGCTACAGGAGCAGGGGTCTGTGCTGGCATCCTTTTCACCAGACAGACCCCGTCGGTGCAGCTGGTCATGGACACAGGCTGGGGGGGGCACTTGTTCAAGCTCCAGACATGAGGTATGTGGTCCCGAGAGGAATGGTTACTCCGTATAAATGGGGGAGTGTGGGCCGAGGCTTAGCTTTCTACCCTGAAGCTTTGACAAACGATTGAAATGGAAAGACAGTTGAACATCCTTGATCCAGCCCTTGTTTGCTAAATCAACATCCCGACCTCCGCTTTATACCCGGCAGGAAGCAATGGGCGCGTTGTGCATCAGACAAGGTTAGATGCTGCCAGCCACTGTCAATCCTATAAGAAATCGTTGCTTCCTGCAGGGTGGGGGGCAGTTTTACTAAGGTTAGTCAGTCTGTTTCGTAACGGGCTGGCAGATCCCCAATCAGCGTCTCCGATGTGCAATGCTCTAGTAAGAGGCAGAGGGTTACTCAGCTACCTTTGTTCTCGGGCCTTTTTGGCCACTCTGGGTTTAGTTTCCAGTCCAGCCCTGGGGAAGGGAATTGAGAATCTCTTCTTCAGGGCAGTTTGGTTTCAAAACATACTAGAAAAACCATGAGCCACTGACTTCGGCCTGTTCTCCGTGCACTTCCCGACTCCCAGCTGGGAGAAGGGGTTCGCTGCTGGGGAGGAGCCTGGTGTCTAGGCGTGTTCTCACGGGAAGAAGCATGTTGGAGTTATGGGTACACGCCAGGGGGCAGCGGACTTGCAGGGTCCCTTGCAAGGTGGGCAGCGGCTCAGATGGGCCTCAGGCAGAAGGGGCGGGGCTGGAACAGCCAGCCCTCAGTGCTACCCAGAGCATGCCATGCTGGCCACTCTCCCCACCACCAGCCAGCCCTGAGGCACGCCCGGAGTGTGCCATGTGGTGCTCCCATGATTATTTAAAAGACCTGGGGCTCTAGCTGCTGCTGTTCCTGCAGCAGCGGCCAGGAGCCGTGGCCCCTTGTGAATCCCCGGGCCCCAGGGCAACTGCCCGTTTTGCCCCTCCTGTCGGCAGGCCGGTGCACACGCCCGTGGATGGTTTCCCAGTGGAAGCTCTTCTGCCGGATAGCTGGCCCTTTCTCCCAGCCGCTCGCACGGCAAGCCTTCTGGGGCACCAGGCAAACGGCAGGGTTCTAGAGCAGGGGCTCATGCTCTGCAGATTGGCAAGTGGTCATGGACCCCTCCATGTCTCAGCTGAGGTTTTCCCCGGCTTTACCTCTCCTGCAGGAGCTAGAATTAAATCCTGGAGAAAGGACTCGCTTCCCCCGCAAAGGGAAATGACCAATAGCAAACATCCAGGGGTGTCCAGATGTACTGGCCCTTTAAGCGTACCCCACGCACCCACACAAAATGGTACCCCCCTGCATTTTCCACAGGAAAGCACTTTCAGTGAGTCGGTGCCCCTTCCAGAGTCTCCCCTTTCTAACAGTAAGCGTGCACTGATCTGTTCGCAGTGCCCCTGCCCTCTGCGAGAGCTTGCTCCCAGCACGCAGCAGGCGCGTCGGTTTGATCACCGGAGCGGCCGCGTGGACTGCCTCCCACGCCTGCTCTCCTTTAGGAAGGGGCAAGGGTGCAGAAAGGTGATTTCCAAAGAGGGTTTAGAACAGTCTGACTCATTTCCTGCGTTGCCTCTTGTGAGGCATCGCTCCTAGCCTCAGTCTTGAAGAACTCAGAGCAAAAGCCTTGTCTCTGCCTCTCCCCTTCTGTTCTGTGCAGGCACCCCTTGTACACCAATAACCCCGTTCTGAAACGGCACCCAAGTGACAGTTCCTGGACAGCCTGCTCTGCACTGCTCCTGTTGATGTGTCGGGAACTCAGGCAGTCACCCTATTTCTTGGAGCACCGCAGGAGCGCTTTCTGCTACTCAGAATACTTAGAACGTCGCCACTCTTCCTGGGGTTATCCGTCACGCCATTTCCCCTTGCACCCTGGCTGCTGGGGGCCAGAACAGTTCTCACTCACAGGTGCCGGAAAGGGGCGTTGTAACTGCGGAACGGCTGCCAAATGAACACAGAGCTCTTGTTCCATTAGCTCAGTGGTCCCTGGAGGTGGGTTTTTATCAGAACACTTGGGGTATGTCTAGACTACAGGGTTTTGTCGACAAAACAGTGGACTTTTGTCGACAAACCTATACCTGCGTCTACACTGCTGCTGAGTTCTGTTGACTTTATGTCGACAGAACTCAGCAGCAGTGTAGACGCAGGTATAGTTTTGTCGACAAAACAGTGGACTTTTGTCGACAAACCTATACCTGCGTCTACACTGCTGCTGAGTTCTGTTGACTTTATGTCGACAGAACTCAGCAGCAGTGTAGACGCAGGTATAGTTTTGTCGACAAAACCCTGTAGTCTAGACACACCCAGGCAGTGGTGTTGTGTTAAACCCAGTGGCGAATATCTCGGGCTTAGGGACAGCTCCCCTACGTTCATTAGCTGTTCCTGCTCTGCATACGTTATCCACCAAATGTGATCAATTCCCGATTCTTTTATTCGGGTGGGTCCTGGGCACAGTAATTGCAAATGGTTTCCCAGTGCTGAGTCGTGTTTCCATCTTTATTCCCCCGTAAAAGCGTCTCCGCTTGGATTCCATCCTGTAGTACCCCGCAAGTGAGTTCCTCCCCTACGTTCATTAGCTGTTCCTGCTCTGCATACGTTATCCACCAAATGTGATCAATTCCCGATTCTTTTATTCGGGTGGGTCCTGGGCACAGTAATTGCAAATGGTTTCCCAGTGCTGAGTCGTGTTTCCATCTTTATTCCCCCGTAAAAGCGTCTCCGCTTGGATTCCATCCTGTAGTACCCCGCAAGTGAGTTC